AGCTCAGAAGAGACCTGAGGTCCAGAGCAAGGTGACCCTGTGCCAGCAGGTGGGAGTACTGGCCCGGGTGCCGTTCCCAAAGGTGAATGACACAGGGAAACAAGGCAGTGCTCAGGGAGAATTCCGACTGGGGTGTGTGACTCCAAGTATTTAATTTTTTGTGCTCCTGGGCTGGAACCCAAGGACTCCCTCGTGCCAGGCGAGCACTCTGCCACTCAGCTTTTTTTTTTTTTTTTTCCTGAGACAAGGTCTCCCTAAGTAGCCCGGGCTGGCCTCTAGCTTGAAATCCTCTTGCCTCAGCCTCTGCACTACCACACCTGGCCTCAAAGCCCTTTTCACTCCATGGGTCTTCTTTCTGGGGTTTTGGAGTAGATACGCATTTGGTCCGTGTCCAGCTGCACTCCCTGCAAAATTTAAAGCTGGCACCAGAAAATACTGTGGGAGCTGCTCTAAATTCCTGTCACCTCATGCCCAGCTGGCCTTGCAGAGACCCTGCAGGGTGGAGAAGGGTATTCACACCCCTACTGTATTGGGGTTTTTAAGCCAGTGAGAGGAGCGGCATGTTTGGCTTCCAAGTGTCAAGGCCATCCTGGGTCCCGGGGACACTGCAGAGGGTGACCCACTGGTCCTGGAGCCAGCGTGGGGCCAGCCTTCTGGCAGGGCAAGTCTTTTCCCTGCTGCTCTGAGATTCTTGGGGTCCTGCCTATTAGGGGTGCCTCCCTTTGCCAGCACATGAAGTGAGCAGAGTGGCCCTGAAATCGCTCAGGGCCTGTGGAGGAGAGCAATCAGGAGAGGGGACCACACCGCGCATCGGAGCCCAGCACTCTGGGAGGCTGAGGCACGAGATCTGCCCTACTCCTTCGGCTTTTCCAGTCCCGCAGCCTGTGGGTTCGTTCTGCCTCTGTTTTCCTGCCATGCCAAGTTCTTCCTCGTTGGTGCTCGCACGGGTTTTGCCAGCAGAGCAGACGTTGGGCGTGTTGGGGATGTTTAACTATGTTTGATTTCAGTGGTTGATAGAGTGCATCAACTTGAGAAGTTTAGAAGCTTAACTAAATTAGCTCGGCAATTCCACACCCCTGGGAGTAGCGGAGCTGCCCTCGGGTGGCTCATCACTTAAAGGATATAAAAAAGGGAGCAGAGGAAGGATGGAGCACCCATTTCTTCGGAGGAGCTCCAGTCTTTGTCTTCAGCTTGGATGTCGTCTCCTGGCTTCTAACGCAGACTCTTCGGCCTCCACCTTGGACCCTCCAGTCTTCGGGTGCAGACTCATCAGCCTTCTGCCTCAGACCCACCGGCCTCCTGATACGGACTTGCACGGAACACTGTGGTGAGCTCCGACTCTGTGGCTGACCGGTGTGAGCCAATCTTGTGATTTGCTATACATTTGTACATCTTGTGTTATATCTGTTTTTCTAATAAAACCCTGACTGATACAGGGGGCTTTGTTATTTGGGGGGTTTTGTTTGTTTGTTTTGGTTTGGTTTATTAATTTATTTATTTAAGACAGAATCTCAAGTTCAGGCTGAACTTGAACTCACTGTGTAACCCAGGCTGGCCTCAAACTCACAGCAATCCTCTGGCCTTGGCCTTGAGAAGTGCTTTGGTTACAGG